ACTGGTGTTTCATTCTGAGTCGTTGTTTAACTATCCTGAGGCCAGGTAATGGCCCCCAGAGGGCCAAAATGGCCCAAAACCTTCCGTCTTGATCTTTTAACAACCCCCTCCTGGACGCCCCCGAGGATGGCACCTTTTCTATCTGCTCCAGCTGGCGGCCCGCACGAGGGAGGAGGGAGGGGGGAAGGCTTCTTAGAAGGAGGCTGCTTCTTAGAAGGCGGTGGCCCATCCCCTACCCCTCTGCGCGTGTTTGACCTTCTCCTTGCTGTCCTGCACCCCCCCCTCTCCGCGCCTAGAGCCCCGGGAGGAAGGGAGGGAGGAAGGGCGGGAGGTAGGAAGGGAGGGGGGGAGGAAGGGAGGATGAGGGAGGGAGGGAGGGGGAGGAAGGGAGGATGAGGGAGGGAGGGAGGGAGGAGGAGGAGGAGGAGGAGGGGAGGGAGGGAGGGAGGAGGAGGAGGAGGAGGAGGAGGAGGAGGAGTAGGAGGAGGAGGAGGAGGAGGGAGGGCGGGTCCATCCCCCCTCTTCGCGTGGCTGCTCCCAGGGCCCCGGGTCGGCCGGGCCGAGGAGCCGCGACAGCCCCTCGCGCCAGAAGCCCCGCGCCTCGCGCAGGTCCACGAGGTAGGCGGCGCGCATGCGCGCGGAGACGCCGCGGGCCTCCATGGCGTGCAGCGCCGCGAGCAGCCCGCGGGAGGCCACGAGGAGCGGCGCGAGCGCAGACTGCCCGAAGGCGACACCGGGCGGAGCAAGCACGCACCAACAAGCACACGCACGCACACGCACACACACACACACACACACACACACACACACACACACACACACACACACACCACACGCACACACACACGCACACGCACGCACACACACACACACACACACACACACACGCACACACATACCACAACATACATACATACATACATACATACATACATACATACATACATACATACATACATACATACATACATACATACATACATACATACATACATACATACATACATACATACATACATACATACATACATACACACACACACGCGAACAAACACAGACATGAAGACTGACATCAACACTGACACTGGCACTAACACTGACTCTAGCACGAACAGAAACACTAACACTGACACTAAAACTAGCACTAACACTAACACTAACACTAACACTAACACTAACACCCATCCACCCAACCAACACCCACACACACACATACATACATACACACACAAACTTGTTCAAGCCGGCGACGCAGAGGGTCCTCAGGCGCAAGCAGAAGATGGGAACGCGAATTGCGATCGAAAATTGTCGACAGCACAATGTACAAGCCGTGCACACCGTCAAGTGCAGGAATGGGTGTGTGTAAGAAGACCTGCAAATCGAAGCGAAACGTGCAGCGACAAAAAACCGAGGAGGCAACTCAACTCGAAGTGAACTGAAGCGCGAGCATTCTGATGCGAACTGGCGACCACTGAATCACCAAAGAGCGGCGTTAGACAATGAAGCGCAAGAAAGAACTGCAACGGCTGCCAAACCAGACGATGTGTGGAATGAAATGCTGACCCAACACGGCAACCAGTACAGTGAACTGAAGCGTAACAGCCAGAGCAAATGCGGCCACTGAATCACCAAGGTGCAAGGCAACGAAGCGCAAGGAAATAAACTGCTAGACAGATTGGAGGTGTCCGTCCTTGCGGCCAGGCGAGGCAGATTGGTAAGGTGTGGACCTACAGATCAGCAACGCAAAGTGACCGCGATGATGGGCGAAGTAGAGCCAACGGCGTGACCACGCCAGGCACGACGTACCCTAAGAGCTGAACCGCCAGACGCGTCAAATGCATCAAGCACAGGAAATGAGGTGCATGAAGCAACCCTTGTACGCACAACCTATCAGCAAACTTAGCGACTGTCACATCACAAAACCTGCAAGGACGGAAAGAGATCCAGAATGTCACTGTAAAGGCAACGAGCGCGGCGAGTTGGCCACCCGGACACCCGCCGTCACGACCAAAACAGAAGGAAGGCAGGCGGGGGCGCGAGGAGACGCGCGGTCGTGTCAACACGACAAGGCGGTCATGGGCGAGGTATCCGCCCACGGCACACATACACACAGCGACGACCCGCCAAGATAGCCAGGCAGCCCGGGCAGCCACCAAGGAGTGGCGCACCTGCAGCAGCACAGCGACGCACGCCCAGCGACGAGCAGCGTGGGTAGCCGGCCAGCCAAGCGCTAGCAAGGTCTGCTGCGCGAGCAGCAGCCGCAGCCCTCCAGCGAGGAAGCCCGCGAGAGGCGCAGAATCCCCGCGCCCCACGCGCGCCAACCCCATGCCGGGGCCCCCCGCAGCGCCGGCCCTCGGGGGGCCGCTCTTCGGCACCGGGGCCACCGGAAACGGACCTGGGACTAAACAAGGGGCCCCGGGAAGGGGTCGGGACCTCTTGACTACCTACCAGACCACCCCGACCCAACCCGAAGACCCGAAGTTCGGGTTGGGGGGGGTAAGGGTTCCACGCGTGTTTTTTCGATGTTCCCCGAAACCCCCCCCACTGGAAATCGACGGTAAATTTGAGCCTTCGGGTTGGGTTGGCGTGGTTTGGTGGGTGGTGACCTCCGGGGCCCGCCGAGCGGGAAAAAACAGAGAGCAGGCAAAACCGCACGCAGGCATCGAGCGTTTTGCTCGCGCTCGCGGCGCGGCGGAGGCGATCCGCAGGCGCGCCCTGAGAGGCCAGGATCAGACACCAACGAATGGTCCAGCTGCAAGAGGGACGAGGGAGACGACAACAACAACGGCAACGACAACGACGCCAACAACAACAACCACAACCACAACCAACAACAACAACAACAACAACAACAACAACAACAACAACAACAACAACAACAACAACAACAACAACAACAATTACTAGCACGTGGGGACACTCCGTTCTCACCAGTGCCAGGGTTTTCATAGGAGGCGGGCAATACCCCCACTTTGTGGGGGGGCCGGTTCAAGCTCTACCACATTTCCAAACGACTCTTCGCCACCACCCACACCCAGCTTCCCGCCCTATGACGTTCGGACACTTCACTTCGTGGCCTGCGGACGACCGTGGCTACTACACTGGCGCATGGGTACAGTGACTTGTTGTGGTAACATTTTCTGGACGCTAGCTTAGTATACGACTTTTCCCCCTATTGCTGTTGTGGTAACATGCCGACGACGACGACGACGACGACGACGCGACACGCGCGCATGTGTCCCGCATGGTATGTTTTGCAAGGGATTGTGGCCCCTGGCAGGCGCGCGAACGCCGTTGAAAGAGCTTGCGAAAACAGCTCGCGCGAGCTCATGTAACATAAATGTTGAAAAACCATTGGTTTTTTAAGGATTCGGACAGCGCGCGCGGGTAGAAATTTTGAAAAGTCGTGCAGGTGTTTTTCGAGGACCTACGGTGCGATTCGTGTGATTTTATGATGCGCGGTGCTAAAATTCTTAAGAAGCCCAATGGTTTTTGGAGATTTCGGCGTGCGCGCGCGAAGAAAAAACGAATGTGTCCCGCATGGTATTATTTGACAGGGATGATGGCCCTGGCAGGTGCGCAACCGTTGTCGCAGAAGTTCGAAAAAGTTGCTCGCAAAAGCCCGTTTGACAGAAATGTTTAAAAAGTGTTGGGTTTCCTACGAATCCGCAAGAGCGCGCGGGATGAGATTTTGACATTTTTTTGTTGAAAAACCATTGGTTTTTTGATGTTTTTATGTTAAAATCGCTGCGAACACTAAGGTTTTGGAAGGATTTCGTCTTGCGCGCGCGAATGTCCACTTTACCTTATTTTTTGCAAGGGATTCTTGAAATTTGATTATATTAGAACAAGAAATGTCATTTTCTATTGTTTTTTGCAAGGGAAAGCGGATTACAACAAAACAACCGGATCCTGTACACACCCTCTTTTCTGAGGCTTCCTCACGAAAATGATGAAAATGTAGCTGCGGCCTAGGCGGCGCAGGGGGGGCGCGCACCAGGGGGCCCAACAATAATTATTCTTTAGAATAAATAATGTTCAACAACAACAAGAACAAAAACAAGAACAAGAACAACAAAAATAATAATAACAACAACAACAGCAGCAACAACAACAACTACAACAACAATCACAACCACAACCACAACCACAACAACAACAACAACAACAACCACAACCATAACCACAACCACAAACACAAGCACAACAACAACAACCACAATAACACTTATTTTAAGACTGCTCGCCCCTTATCTGCTCACGTGCCAATCAATACGTATATCCGAAACCCTCGGTACCCGCCCTCGTCGTCTTCGACCGTACCCCCTCGGGGGGATATCTTCCTCACCTGCCGCGTGCATCTAGCGCCGCCCCTGAAACAAGGGAAGAGAAGACGGGTGAAGGGGGAGGGAGAAGAGTGGAGCACGAGAGAAATCAGCAGGAAGGGGGCAAGGAGCAGAAAACAAATGGCAGAATCAAACGGGCAGATCTGGCGGGCAGACCCATAGCGGGCAGGTCGGGAAGGCGGGCCCAGGCGACCAGGTCGAGCAGGCGGCCGAAGCGTGGGTCCTGCATGAATCGCGGGGAGGTCTCGAGCGATAGCGCGATTACCAAGTAAACTGTGTGAGAGAGGCCAGAAAAGCGAGAGCATGACTCCTGAGCGCCGAGGGCGCATCGTCTGAGTAAACTGCGAGGAAGTCCCACCCGAGAGCGCGATTAGTAAACAAATCGTGAGGAAGTCCCGCGCGAGAGCGCGATTTGAGAATAAACTGTGAGGAAACATCAGGCGGGAGCCGTTGCTATCGTAAACCGGGGGCCAACAACACAGTTTGATCCCCGTGACTTTCCCTGATAAAAAACAGGGTGCGAGCCCCGGGGGAAGCACTTCAATTGAAAAAATGAAATGGTCACCTGAGGGGGGGGTCACCATTCAATAATGAGACAACAACAACAACAACAACAACAACAAACGACAACGACAACGACAACGACAACCAAAACCAAAACCAAAACCAAAACCACAACCACAACCACAACCTCAACCACCACAACAACAATTGCAACAGCAACAATAACCACAAAAATAACAACAAACATTCACAACCATAACAGCAACAGCAGCAACAACAACCACAACCACAACCACAACCCCATCCACAACCACCTCAACTACAACAACAACCACAACAACCACAACCACAACCACAACAACAACAACAACAACAACAACAACAACAACAACAACAACAACAACAACAGTAACAACAACTACAACAACCACAGCAACAACGACAACCACAACAACAACCACAACAACAACCACAACAGCAACAACGCCGGACGTGCCCCAGATCTGGGCAGGCGCACACGTCCCGAACTCCGCGCGGACGCCTCAGGCCGGCGCTGGGCACCCCTCCCCGCAAGGCCCCCGAGGGCCGCCTCCGACGGCACACCCGGCGCGCCCCACGCGCTGGGGGTGGGGCGGCGGGGAGGGAGGTTTGGCGCCGACCCGAGCAGATGAGGCTTATGTCGGGCCTGTCCCCCTACAGGGGGATTTTCGACAAAAAAAAATACAAAAAAAAACAAAAAAAAAAAAAAAAAAAAAAAAACTCCGAAAGGGCCAAAAAATACTCAAAAAATAGTCCCCAGACTATGTTTGGACTATTTTTTTACTATTTTTGGGGTATTTGTTTTTTTTCGTCGAAGATCCCCCTGTAGGGGGACAGGCCCGACATAAGATTAGGCACTAAAGGGCCCCCAGCCGTTTGGGAGGGGGCCCAAGTTCGGAGGGCCTGGAGCATCGGGGATGCGGGGAGCTCTTCTGCAGAGGTGTCGCCCAAAGCTGCCGAGATCTATTCATCCCTGCTGCGAAGACGGGGACCTCGGTGAGGCCACGTCCTCGTCGTGTCATCAGGGCCTCCTCCTCCTCCTCCTCCTCCTCCTCCTCCCCCTCCCCCTCCTCCTCCTCCCCCTCCCCCTCCCCCTCCCCTCTCCCTCCTCCTCTCCTCCTCTCCTCCTCCTCCTCCTCCTCCTCCTCCTCTCCTCCTCCTCCTCCTCCTCCTCCTCCTCCTCCTCCTCCATCCTCAGTGGCGAATAGGCGGCGACATCCGAACCCTGCCCCCCCACCAACCGTCGCCTCTCCTCGGACGCGCGCGCTCCACGACTCGCAGAGCCACTGCTCGCGAGCGGCCCCGGATCCGCCGCGGGGGATCTGCGATCTGCGACGTCGAGGCGAACATGTGTTCTTGTCCGACTCTTGCGAGCACAGGCGCTCTGCGAGCAGTGGAACGCGCTCGGCGACTCCGGCATCGATGGGGAGACGGGGGTAGGGTTCGGCGTTCCGCCGCGCGCCGCCCCTCGAGGTGTCCGAATCGTGGATCGGCGAGGGAAGGCCGACCGAGCCGACGCCTGCGGCCCTCCTCTGGCCTCCCGAGCTCGGCCGCGCCCGTGAAGCGGCACAGCGCGGGCAGCAGGAGGTACTCGGAGAACTCGGCCCAGTACGCCCGGGCCTCCAGCCCCGCCGCGTCCCCCGCGGGCCGCGCGGTGTCCAAGAAGGCCGGGCACCGCCAGGGGTGGCCCCGGGCCCAACGGAGGAGGAGGAGGAGGAGGAGGAGGAGGAGGAGGAGGAGGAGGAGGAGGAGGAGGAGGAGGAGGAGGAGGAGGGGGGATATCGGCTGCACACGCGGGAGTGGCCCCAAGGCCAGCGTGGCCCGTGGCCTGCGGCTTGCCGATCCTTGCGTGCGGTGCGGCAGCAGCGGACCGCCTGCTTTGACCAGGCTCGAGCTTCTCCCTAATCTCGGGTCGGGCGAAAGGGGGGGATAGCAAAGGGGGGGTTTGAGAATCAGCTCACGTAGCTGATTTTCCCGGCGCCTCCTGGCGCCTGAGGCGGCCATGTACCGAGGAATGGGCCCCTCGGCGAGGCCGAAACCAGCTGCATGCAGCGAATTTCGTAACCCCCCCTTTCCCAATCCCCCCCTTTCGTCTGGCCCGATAATCGTCCCAAAGATGGTTCACAGGCCGAAAGGCAGTGACAATCTCAGGGATGCATCCTCTGAAACTGAGGGAATCCTCAGGATAGGCATCGAGATGAGGTGCTGCCAGTCCCAGGGAGAGGCATGTGTTTCGGGCTGGTAATGCTTGGGATCGGCCCCCCGAGGGCTCCCCGAAAGACGCGCACCACAGGTCGCTTTGGCGACAAATCGCCCGCACGTGTAGCCGACGCCTCGCCTTGTGGCAAAAGTCGTGACAAAAGCGTGGCTCCCACCAGCCCGCGGAATAAAAAGGTCCAGAGGCCGTCGAGCGGCTCAGGTGGGGCCGCGTGCCGACAAACATGGGCCCCCTAGACATGGGGTCCGAGCAGATGGGGCCGGAGGCTCGCGCCGCATCGGCGACGCATCGGCAGTGCATCGGCGGTGCATCGGCGGCGCATCGGTGGTGCATCGGCGACGCCGGCGTGGAGAAAATCGGGCTCCACATCGAGCCGCATGGCCGATGCGTCGGCGATGCGGAGCGATCCCCCGACCTCAGCTGCTCCGACCCCATCCATAGGAGGCCGACGAAGCAGCAGAGATCCAGCTCGTCGGAGGTCGGGGAGCGTGCCACCCCAGCTCTTCGCGCCGCTCAAAAAGGTCGGGGAGGGACAGGACCCGCTTTGGCGAAGCGCGGCTTGGCGAAGAAAACGCCTCGGGCCCGAGCCCAGCGGGGCGCCAGGCCTGGAAAACGACGGCCGCGGCACCCTCGCGAGAACCCACAGCGGACCAGTCACCCCTCGACGTGTCAGGGCGGGGAGTCTGTCCACCCCCGAGCCTTGGGTGTCCCAACACCGTGTGGTGACAGACCCGGCGGTGACCTCGAAATCCGCAAAGACCTCACCGCACGGTCCGTCACCGCACGGTTCTGGGACCCTGGAGGCTCCAGCCGCCCGAGACATCCTCGGAGAACGACCCCGAATCCCCACCGACTCACCACACGGTGTGGTCACCACCCCGTTTGGGAGCCCCCGAGAGCCTCCCGCGCCGCTCCGAGGCCCCCCCCCGGAGGAGCCCCGTGGGGGAGGGGGGGGGGCGCGGGGCCCCGGCGGGCCCTCGCAGAGGCGCGCCCCCGGGCGCCCCTCCCGCGCAGCGGCCCGGGGGAGCCCGCCCGGGCCAAGAAGAGCAGGGCCGGCCTCGGGCCGGGGGCGCCCCGGGCAGCACCCGAGGATCGGCGGCGAGCGAGGGGGGGGAGGCGGAAATGAAGGGGCCCCAGGACACACAACTAAATACACACACAAATAAACATGTTCCCCATACGTTCCCCTATTTGGGGCGTTGTTGTCTTCCCCCCCGCCTCCCATATTTTTGCATATTTTCCTGGGGGTCGACGATGAATTGTGTCTGTGTGATTTTTGGTCCCTCCTGAGGAGGAAAGGCCCCGGGGCCACAGCTCCACCCAAACAAGAGTCAGAGCCACAGATGGACAAAAAAAGACCTTCACACCAAGACGAGAACTGATTTCCGTTTTAGTCGCTTTCCCTGTGAGCGAGCAACGACATGTGTACATGTACGCCCTCCGCGGTATTGCGTGCACGAACCTCCGCGTTCAAACGCAATTCGGCGGAAACAAACCGCGTACATGTACATATGTTGTTGCCCTCTGACCCTGCCCCTTCTGGGGCCATTCCTACGGACGACCCCGTTCTCTGACCCCCAGACAAGCCCAAGGGAAGGGTTGCCAGGATTTCCAGAGCTGGGACAGGAAATCTTTGCACGGTACCTTGAATTGAAGGGTCAACGCGGGCCGCAGTAAGAACCCAACCGGCCGCGCGCGGGGCCGCACAAGAACACAGCAGGCCGCACAAAAGACCAACGGGCCGCACAAAAGACCAATCCTAGCGGCGGAGGAGAACTTAGAAGGCGGAGGCCCCGAGAAGATTGCAGCACAGCTCTCTCATTACCGAGGACGCTCAGAAATTCTCCTGCGCGCGGGGTGGCCCAATGCGGCATAATTGCCCCAGAGAAAGAAGCTGCCAAGAATATCGCTCCCGACGAACATTAGAGGGAAATGACTCCCACAGTGTGTCATCGAAGGCTATCTCGATAACTAGAGTTTCCCGCCGCCTTCTCAGAAGGCGGCGGAACTTCTCAGAAGCCCTCGCGTCTTCTGAGAGGTTCTTCAAGCCTTCGGGGAAGGCCCAGGAGACTTCTCAGCAGAGCGGGGGACTTCCGAGCCTTCCGAGAAGGCCCTTCCCCTTCTCGCTTTCCCCCCCCCCCCCCTCGCTCGCCGCCGAGAGAAGGGGTCGCGCCCGTGCGCCTCCTCCACCGCCGACCGGTTGCTCCCCGGGGCGGGCAGGTGGTACGGGTAGGGCAGCAGGCGCCTGTTGGAGACGTGCACGAGGGTCTGGGCTGGGGAGGCGCAGGACTCGGGTTCGGGGGGCTCGGGCTGGCCTGCCGGGGCCGCAGGGAAGAAGAAAGGTGGCGAGGCCCGGTCTGAAACGCGGCGCGAGCGCCCGCTGCAAGCATCCCGCGAAAACTGGACCGCCAAAACTCGGGGCGGGCCCGTCGAAGGGCGTCGGCAGGCCGAGGCTCCGGCGAACTCTCGAGCCTTCCGCGTCCCCGACTGGAGGAGGGCCCTCTCTGGGACGAAGGTGGGCACGCCCATCTTGAAGAGGTGGCGCAGCATGCAGATCTCCGGGGACCAGGGCAGCACGACCACCGCGTGGAAGCCGGCGACCTCCGCGAACGGCACGATGCGGCCCTCCTGCCCGACGATGTCAAACGGGAACTTTGGCCCGGCCATGAGCCGCACGCCCTGGATGAAGAACCACTCGTACTTGAGACGCCCCCGGCTGTGCACCAGCACGTCCCCCCTCACGCCCGAGGCGCCCGCCGTGGGGCGGTACGTGGCGTTGACCCACACGGACATGGGCCGCAGGAACGGGATGCCGACCCCAGTCTGGTAGAAAAACTGCTCGCACCTGAGTAACATGGGAGGCACAAGGACATACTAGTACTATATGTCCTCCTTGGAGGCGCGCGTCCGACCCGAACATATAGTATACCCTCGTGTAGTACATCGTTTCCCGAGCGGTGTGGCCAGAAAGCGCCCTCGGCGACGCATATGCTGGAAGATTTGTCGGTGCGCGCGTCGTCCCTGGGGGGGGGGGGGGCCGCGACGCACATATTGACTACCTACCAGACCACCCCAACCCAACCCGAAGACCCGAATTTCGGGTTGGGGTGGGTATGGGCCCCACATGTGTTTTTTCGATGCTTCCGGACCGCCCCCTACTAGAAATCGAGGGTAAATCTGAGCCTTCGGGTTGGGTTGGGGTGGTTTGGTGGGTGGTGGCATATAGCATAAGTATGTTGGGGTGATGCCGATAACAATCAGGAGCGGGTCCTGCGCGAGATGGCACAGCAACCTCTCGCCGCAGCGTGCGCGGCCCGCCGGCGCGTCGCGCCCTCGCTGCACCCGGAACCGAGGGTGCCCACGCGCGACCTTGCGCGGGCTACTCACTCACGCGCCAGCGTCGGCGAAGAAGATGCTCCAGGTCTCTCAATAAGCGCGGGGGGGAGGGGGGGATCGCGTGGGGGCGGGGGGGGGGGGGGAACCGCTGTCCTTCGGGGGGCGTGGGGAGGTTGGGGAGCGAGAGGGGGCGGGTTTGGGGGCGCGGGGAGGGGCGGGCAGGGGGGCGTGCGTCGGACGGGCTGGCACGGCGGGGGGTGCTCATTGTGAAGGACAGTGGAGCACCGCTCTCCCCCGCCGCTCGCCTGAAGAGGGACTCCGCCGCCAGCAGGCAGCGGCCCCGGCGCGCGCAGGCCAGCACCTCCCGGAAGCCGCTCCAGAAGCCGGCCACCGCCGCGGCGCGGCCCTCCTCTGAAGGGGCCCCAGGACACACAGATAGATACACACAAATAAACCTCCTCCTCCTCCTCCTTCTCCTCCTCCTCCTCCTCCTCCTCCTCCTGCTCCTCCTCCTCCTTCTCCTCCTCCCTCCTCCTCCTCCTCCTCCTCCTCCTCCTCCTCCTCCTCCTCCTCCTCCTCATCCGCTTCCTCCCCCCACTCCTAGCCCTTTCGATCAGGGTCGGCGGCACCGGCCGTCAGGCCTCTCCAATAGATACACACAAATAAAATATCCCCCATATTTTCCCATATTTCCTGGGCTTCTGTCTTCCCCCCCACACTTCCCATACTTTCCCATATCTTCGGAGGAACCGACGATGCATTGTGTCTGTGTGTTTTTGTCCCCTCCTGATCCTCGATGTCCTCCGCCGCCGACAGCAGCAGCGGGGGCCCCAGGAGCACCACCGCGGGGACCCCCGGGAATTTGGACGCCCGAAATGGGTACGGAAAGAATGGGTACAATGCCCAACAACAAATGTTGTCCCAAACCAACAGCGGCCGCTGTTGGGCAGGCGGCCTTCTGTCTCAAATGGACACAGGCCGCGGCGTCATCAACAGCGAGTCCTGTTCAGAATGAACAGAAACTGCTGTTGGGAATTGTACCCATTCTTTCCGTACCCATTTCGGGCGTCCAAAGGGAAGGCGCGCACGGCCCAGATGGCCTCCGCGACGCTGGTCATCGTGACCAGCTCCGGCGGCAGCCGCGACCCGCCGGGGCTCCTGGGCGAGTGCGCCGCAGAGGGCGGGCCAGGACCCTGACATTCCAGGAGGGCTAAAAAATAGGACGCGACGTAAAAACCTATCCCAGAGCTATTCTATGTCTTGGCTTTAGGCTGTTTCGTGTAGTCTTTTAGGTTGTCAGGCCTCCCGTGCTAAAAAATGGCTCTCTGGAAGGTCAGGGGAAGAGGGGGGTGGGCTCGCGTCGGGCACGTCCTCCTACGGGCGGATTTTTTGGAAGAGGAGGGGAAAAAAATAGTCAAAAGATAGCTTTGGCGAGGAATCGAGAAAAACCGTCCCCCGACGATGTTCTGACAACTTCTGGACAGTCCTCCTGTAGAGGGACGTGCCCGACTCAAAAGCAGGGGGTCGGCGCATTGTGGCTCGAGGCAAGTGCGCGGACGGGTTGGGGGGCCGGGGCACGTGCCGATCGCAGGAAGAGGGGGCCGGGAGGTATGGGAGATCTCATGGCCCCAGCCACGACATCCTCCTCCTCCTCCTCCTCCTCCTCCTCCTCCTCCTCCTCCTCCTCCTCCTCCTCTTCCTCCTCCTCCTACTCCTCCTCGTTCGCTCCGCTCCTCCTCCTCCTCCTCCTCTCCTGCTCCTCCTCTCCTCCTCCTCCTCCTCCTCCTCCTCTCCTCCTCCTCTTCCTTCTCCTCCTACTCCTCCTCCTCCTCCGCCTCCTCCTCCTCCTCCTCCTCCTCCTCCTCCTCCTCCTCCTCCTCCTCCTCCTCCCTCCTCCTCCTCTCCTCCTCCTCCTCCTCCTCCTCCTCCTCCTCCTCCTCCTCTCTCCTCCTCCTCCTCCTCCTCCTCCGCCTCCTCCTCCTCCCCTCCTCCTCCTCCTCCTCTCCTCCTCCTCCTCCTCCCTCCTCCTCCTCCTCCTCCTCCTCCTCCTCCTCCTCCTCCTCCTCCTCCTCCCACCCCCAGGCCTCCCCATCCTCGTGGACGCCTGCTGGCTCTCGGGCCACAGCTCGGGCCTCCGGCGGCCGTCCGGGGCGATGCGGGCACCTCCAGAAAGCCCTCGACGAGGCGCAGCAGCTGAAACGCACCCTGGCCAAGAGGTCCACCGAGAACCGACGAGAACGTCCAAAAGCCAACTGCACGGAACAGGAAATCCCAGTCCTATTATCATGAAAGAAACGGGTCCCAGGGGAAACGGGTCCTGGACCCCGGCCTTCCCCCAGGACCAGACCAGCTCTTCATCCTGAGCCGGATTCTGACAGTACCGGTCCCTGGGAAGCCAAAAACTCAGAAAAACACACGGTCCCTTCATGGCGACCAAGTCCTCGACTTGGGCATGGCTTACTGGGCGGCGATCAGTGGAAATGGGGGGGGAGCGAAAAGTGCACTTTTCGTGTCATCTTCGGCCCCAGAGAACCCCGCTCAGGGCCCCTCCATGTCACAAAAGGTGCACCTCTCTCCGCCCCCTTTTTTCATCGCCCCCCATTACCAAACGAAGAAAAACGCTAGAAACAGAAACTGCTAGCGCTCCGCGCGGAATTCTTGGATCTGCGCTGGACCCCCCTCCTTGGCGCGCGGCGCCGCCAAGGGGTCCCAGCGCGAATCCAAGAGATCCGTACGGAGCGCCAAGAGTGTATGTTTATGGCGCTTTTCTCTTCTCCGAATTGCGCAGCGCCCGACCCGCCCCCTCCTCGGATCGGAATCGGATCAAGGGGCCCAAAGACACACAACTAAAAACACTCAAATCATATGATTCCCCATACGTTCCCATATGTTTTGGTTTTTCGTTTTCCCCCCCACTTCCCATATCTCCCCATACTTTCTTGGGGATCGACGATTCATTGTGTCGATGTGCGTTGTCCCCCTCCTGATCGGCAGCAGCCGACATCGAATCCAATCGAGTCGGAGGCATCGCAGCGAGCCCACTCTTCCACGCCGCCCCGTCCCGAAGAACAGCCGCGGGTCTCGCGGGCTCGGCTGGCCGCGCCGCCAGGCGGCCCCTCCGCGGCCCGCCCCGGCGGCAGCCCCGCTTGCGGCGGGCCCGGCGGCCCGCCGCTGCCGGCAGAGCCGCCGCACGGTGGCCGAGCCCTCCGTCTTGTCGCAGATGGCCTGCTCCTGCTCGCCGTACAGCACGACGGCGTTGGGCGGCGGCGGCCGACCGCCTCACCGAGCCTGGCCCAGGCTCGGCGTTTTTCCTCCTCGTCCTCCTGCTCCTCCCTCCGCTCCTCCTCCTCTTTCTCCTCCTCCTCCTCCTCCTCCGCCGCCTCCTCCTCCTCCTCCTAATCCTGCTCCATTCCTTTTTTCCTTCTAATAAATAACTTCTCCCTGTCGCACCCCGAGGCCGGTTTTTTGGGAGAATTTCACGGATTGGGGGCGAGTCGTTTTAAAAATGTGGCTCTCGCTTTGACGCCGCGCAAATTCGCTGTAAAAACTGGCAAGAGTTTAAGAGCTTCACGGATCGAGGGCGGTTCCTTTCAATAATGTGGCTCTCGCCTTAGCGCCGCGCACTTTCGTCTACGTATAACCACGGATTCCCATGATCAACGTACCAGAAATTGTGTTGTGGAACGATTCTGGATTGCGCGGGCGCAACAGTGACGTTGATTCGCCGTGTAGAAATCCCAGGAATGGCGTTCTGGCACGATTCCGGATCGTCAAGACGCAACAGTCAGGTTGATCAGGGGCGCTGGAATCCCGAGAACAATGTTTTGGCATGCTTCAGGGTCTTCAAACGGTTGTCGTCCAACGAGGCAGATCCCGCAATGGAAATGAACCGTTGTAAGGTGCCTATGAATTGGGAGCTTGGAGGGAGGATTTACTCCAACATCGTTGATGACTCTTGGGTTTACACTGGTCCTCCTCCTCCTTCTCCTCCTCCTCTTCCGCCGCCTCCTAATCCTCATCCTCATCCTCATCCTCATCCTCATCCTTCTCCTTCCCCCCCTCCTCCTCCCCCTCCTCCTCCTCCTCCTCCTGCAGCGTGGCCAAAGGGGGGGCGGTCTTCGGAGTGCTAGTGCAGCATCTGGTGCCGCACCGTGGGGACGAGACCTCTTGCCTCGTGCAACTCCAGCGGTCGACCGCCGAGACGTAAGGACTTTGCTCGAATCTCGTTGTAAAGGAAATAAGCACAGGCTGGAACTCTGAGAGACGACTCGGTGGGCATCAAAATCCCGAACCGATCCAAGGGGAGCGGGGCGAGGGGGCCAGACAAAGCCTCAAGAAGAGTGCCGAAGATGGGGCAATTCCAGTAATGCGCAAACGCGTCCTCGCCACCAAGCTCGGGGGGACACCCACAGAGACAAAACAAATTTACAGACTCTTGAAACCTACGTTGAGTTAACCAGTTTTTCGAGAGCGTCCTAGCAGCCGCAGCCGAGAGGGCAACAGGCAAGGAAGCAAGAGTGGCCTGCACAGCAGACCAGTCAACGGTAAGGATACGAG